ACGAAGAGATAGAGAGAGAGAGAGAGAGAGAGAGAGAGAGAGATGAACCTGTTCCAGCTCCCACAACAAAGCAATTAAGGTTAATTGAAAACTGATGAGAAAAAAAAGCAGCACATGAACTCTATTTATAATGAGTTGGCCTTGTTAAAACCACAGAGAGCAAACAGATATAAAGATTGAGACCCCACAAATTAATTGCAACGTACATGACAGAAGAATGAGTGGCAACATATTAGTGGCCGGTACCACAAATAATTAAGATGGTGGGTATCAAGGCTGAGCAAAACCTATTTATGAATTTGATGCAGACGCTACATGTCATCAGCGGCTGCACGTATGCAGACGCTACATCAGCAACAACGAAGGCAGCTTTGAGGATGTTGACTTGTATTCGAATTTGATGGGAGCCATTTCTGCTGTAGATCATATATTGTATATACAATTATTTTCTGTACAAAACCTTGCAGATCATTTCAATATCTCAATGATTGCAAATCTTGAGATTAATGTACAATTAATTATGGATCACTACATAATTGTTTTGTAAGATCCGGCACATTACCGATTGTAATGCCAAGTGCTGTACTTGGCGGTATGATGTCTCCTGATGCTGTTCGAAGGGATATATGTATCAATGGTGCCGACATACGCTGAAAAATGAACTCATTAATATGAGATGCTTCGGCTTAATCATGTCGGCTTTGATTAGCCGATATGCTAGTTTCGAGCTTCTGGTTCATCTTCTCCATCTGAGAATACATCCTTTGATTTAACTCCCCAGTCATTGTCCTCATCTCATGTATCTGAGAAACTAAAATTTGATTTGATTCCCTCATCTGGGACCTTACCTCACCTATCTATGCTTGTTGGGCATCAATTTTCTGCATAATCGATTCCAGTACCCGACCCAAAAGGACGTCGGATGGAATAGAAGAATCGACATCACCGATTTGCTGGTTTTCTTCGTCAATATTGTCACCTGTAGTCACACCTTTCGAACCTCTTAGCTTGGGAGGCATATTTACTATAATTACTCACTTAATGGGTCCCACCGAGCGTGCCAAAAATGTTGATGCTAAAATCGGCCGGCTTGAGCCGATCTTAAATTGAGATGTTGCGGGAGTGCCAGAACCAAATATATGGTTCGATTGTGAATTGTCAACTTACAGTCTCTTAAGGATGGTTGACTTCAGCCGATTATAGGAGAAAGAGAACAAATAGACTCCTTAATGAATTTTACTTGCCTTAGTTAAAAAGACTTTGCAATAAATAATTTATAGTAACAATTTAGGGGGAAGAAATAGATATAGAAAGAAATATAAGGAAAGAAAGATAGAGAGAGAGAGAGAGGAAGATAGAGAGAAAGATCGAGATATTGAGAGAGACAGAGATAGAAAAAAAATAGCAAGAAAGCTATTCTAAGAAAAGCTTGAGAAAGCAAACAAATAAATTAAAGGATTATGAGGGTGATGGACCTCTAGTACAGCTTACCTCCTTATTTATTTATAAATAAAATACAAAACAAATTCCTAAATTCAAGCATTCTACTTGTAGTAAAATTCTAATCATAACTATGCGACAATTCAAATTAAATTAAACTACAGATAACCTTAAAACTTCACTATACCTAAATAAAAGATGAAACAAAAATTACAAACTTTATCAATCATCTAATTCAAAATAAGTCTTTGCATGCCATTCGGATTCCATGTAGAGTTGTCAACACTTCCTTCAGTCAAAGCCGAACTATGTAGTTTGGCCCATATACTCCATAAACCTAATCGGACCTCTTCTCACCAACCAAGCCATGCCACTATATATATCCAACCCAATTGTAATATACTTCAGCCCAATATTTGTATGGCCCAAGCTTCTAAAACATCGTCAATCATCCAGCCTTACAGTCTTGACCCATATTACTATGTCTCTGTTCACCAAGCCCAATTGCAACCCAAATCCAATTATCAAAATGGGTGTCAACATGCATCCTTCAAACTAAATATTTTTCAATTCCAAATCCAAGATGCGAAATATATATACAATGGCGTAGCCACATAGGGACAAGTGGGGGCAATTGCCCCCACTCAACTTTTAAATTTTTTTAATTTTATATGGAAAGATTTTTATTTTTGTATTATTGTCCCCTCTAAAATTTGATATATATATATATATATATATTTAGTGTAAAACCGTGAATATATATATATAATCATCTCATAATTGTAAATATTCTATCAATTTATTACTTTCCCTAAAAAATGATATTTTTTTCTACTTTCTCAAAATATTATATTATTTCCTAATATTCTATCACACTTTTGACTTACCACAAATAAATGGATTGTTTCCATCATATCTTCAATTTTTAACATTTTTCAGAATTCAAACAAAGCAAGCGGAGCAACCATTTACCGGTGGACAGAATGACTAAGAGTCATATTGCAGTGCAGCATACTGGTAATCTGATTTTTTTTTAATTTTTTTTTTATTTTATCATCATATAAATTTACGATTATTATTTAATACTATAATTTTAATTAGAAAATTTATTAGTTATTACTATCAAAATTATTTTAGAGCTTGTTTGTTCTTTCAAAATTTAGTTTGTGTAATCGTGTTACTAATTATTATTCTCTGAATAACACTTAGAATTTATTTTTATTTGCAGCCCAAATCAATGAAATCACAGATTAATTGTTATTATGGATTTTTATTTTTATTTTTTTTACATATGTGATATATTAGAACTGGTAACTGTGTTATTTTTTTTTTTTTCCATGTTTTATTCTTAATTGATTCATTATTTGTTCTTTCAAAATTTAGGTTGTGTAATCGTGTTACTAATTATTATTCTCTAAATAACACTTAGAATTTATTTTTATTTGCAGCCCAAATCAATGAAATCACAGATTAATTGTTATTATGGATTTTTATTTTTATTTTTTTTACATATGTGATATATTAGAACTGGTCACTGTGTTATTTTTTTTTTTTCCATGTTTTATTCTTAATTGATTCATTGAATATGATTTTTTTTAGTATATTTAATTAAATGAACTCAATTTTGAAACAGTAATGACTAATTTGAAAAAATTGTTATGAATGTACTGAATACAAATATAATGAATCAATGTTTTAATTTTTACATATATTGTTTTGGTATAAATTATATGTATGTGTATATATATATATATATATATATATATTATTGCTATTAAAGATTGCCCCCACAGAAGAAAATTCCTTGCTACGCCACTGTATATATACACACATAAACATTCAAGACGACCACCAAATTATGAAGAATTCCCTTTGTCCATCTTTGTAGTGATTAATTAATTAAATTATGAAATAATAATAATAATCCCGAGCTTGAAGTAGCAATTAAACTTCAACCCCCCCAACGTAGATTGAAGAGTTGCAGCGTACAAAAACTGGTGAAGTGAAAAAACAAAAAAAAAAACAAACAAACAAACTGCTACAGAAGGGGAAAATTAAATAAAGAGAGGAAAACAGGAAATTAAGAAAACTCCAAATGATATATCAGTGTCTTCATGAGAGACTAGCTAAATAGTAAGTAGTATTTGGATCAAAAGTGGTATTCTCCTAGTACAAGTAAAAAGGTGGACAAATATATTAGAAGCTATGTTGAATCCTTTGCTGAATCGTGTGAAGCTAGATATAATTTTGCTAGTGCAGTTGGGTTAAATTAGCTCAAGGTTTAGTATTGTTAATCTCACTCATAAAAGTGAAAAGTATTATTATTCATTCAGGTAATTGCTATTGGGTGTATAACTATAATGAACGTCACAAGAAAATAAATAAACAATCAGGTTGGGGAACCAAATCATCCAACTCCTCGTCTGTGGAGTCTTCAGAGAAGTATACTCATTTTGGTCTGTTCTCTGGATTCCTGGGATCATAACAGAGGACGTCCCCCGGTTCGATGTGGCAATGTTTTTCGGGGCGGTCGTGGGTGTATGACGTTGCCATAGGTATACAAGATGTCATGATTAAGAACGAGAGTTATGGCGCAATAGAGACCAAACTCATCTCTCAGGCGTGTCCATGATTCATCATCGAAATTGTATATATATATACAATATTTCATTTGAAGCCAATGAGACGCAGCTTCAGCTATCATGCTCGAAGTAACTGAATTTTTGTCTAGTTGGGTAGCATCTGTAGGGCACATTCTAACCTCATAGGGTATTTCAGTCTACAAAGCTTGTCGCCGAGAGGGATCAAAAACTTTCAAATAATTATCATGGTTTTCACATGGTGGTGGTGCATGCATCAATCCAGAGGTCACCAGTAGTACCCCCGACCATGTAGATGTTGGCAGCATGAGTAAAGGTCCTAGCATAGACCCTTTTCCTGGACATAGGAGGAGGGCATTTGGTCCACCCTCCCTCCGTGGGACAAACAGTGTTGATGCAACACACCTCATTGGTGACCCCTAAAAGTGTCGTCACCAATGACAAACTCATACAAATCCAACTATACACTTTATAATTGGAGAGATGGGGTTTTAAACTAATAATGCACACAAGCACAAAATATAAAAAATATACCCTTTATCTTGTATTCCAAGTTGCTCTGGTTAATAAAACCATTGCTCAAATCCCGCCCAAAATAACATAATTGCGTTAAGTCAACCCAAAAATTAGCTCCATACAGGATGGAGTCCTGAATTCAGCATTTTTCTTTAGGGTAAACTTTGGTTGCTTAGGATGGTTTCAACAAATTCACAATTACTGCCAGTTTTGAGTACAATGTGTAACAAATCTTCGAACACTAGATTCTATTTCACATATATGGTGAAGGAACTGAAAAAGAAAAAAAGAATAAAAATGGAAAAAAAACTGTTTTGTCATATTTCTTTTCATGCTAAAATATGATTAGAAATAATAATAAAAAAAAATCATAACACAGTCTCTCAAATAAACTGAAAAGAAATTACATATGAAATATTTTTTTTATTTTTAATAATGACTTAAATATACTAAAGATGCATATATTCCCATTGAGGCTTCAACCATCAACTCATCAAAAAAGTAGGGACATATCAATCAAGCCAAGCCTTGGGTAATAATATAAAATTAAATATTTTTCTTCTCTTACTCTGCCTTATAAATTCGTTTTCCAGCATACTATCTATGATAATAAAAAATTAAAAATAATAAAAAAAATTCGATTGTGCCACCATGGAAAGACATTGTTAATTTTGAAAACTACACAATCTCTTCAAACCAGAAACTGAGAAACAACTACAATTCATAATAGAAGGGATACATTAATAATGCATAATGGAAGTACACAAGCACAGTGATCAAACTAACTAAAGGGAGACTAGAGAACAGATAGTTTGTATAAGAGTAAGTCCGAGTAGGATAACTGCAGCAATGGTAGAAGCCGTTATCCATGGAGTGCTGAAATAATCACGGGTTAATGTTGCCCTCCACTTGTGCCGAGAAACCTTGCAATATGCATTCAGTTTTTCACATATATTATAAAAGTAGTAGTTATCAATCCACAAAGCCACTTCTGTGGTGAGACCATTAAAGAGACCGGCCATTGTAGCGCTATCACTTAGGAAGCTTGTAATGACTCCATTTTGGATAAGTAAATCGGCATCTTTTGCAGTGTCAATTAGGTTATCCATTAAAAATATATAATCAGTAATGTAACTATCATAATAATAATGACACTGTTCCAGTGCGAAGAGGTTTCTGAGTACAGATTCTGTTCCATCACCTAAAGTCAAGAGGGGAATTTCTAGCACTTCCTTGGTATTTCTTAGATCAAGTAAGTGATTGCTTTTGGCCGTCCTAAACTTCATTCCTGCCTCCTGGAGCTCTGTCACATTGCGTATCGCCACAAATTTGCCACCATTTGATGATTTTGATCTTGGAGATGATGGTAAGTGAAGTAACCTTAGCAAATCAACAAAATGTTTTACTTCAATAGAATTTAAGATCGATTGATCGATTCCTTCGACTAGACAAAGATCCTGAAAAAAGTAGATAGCAAGCGAGAGGAAGGAATGGGTTTGTGGAGTGACAAGGAAAGCTAGGTTGAACAGACCTTCAAGAACAAAGAAGGGAAGCTGATTTTCAAGTAAGATCAAGTCCATTACTGTGGAAGTTCTGAGAGATGGACGCGTCAAGTAGTTAGTTTGTGCTTCTTCCGGTGATGAGAAATGGTACCTCCAAATGGTCTCAATGATGAAACTGCTGTCCAAAAGAAGCATTTCAACAAATTCATCACTGCTAAGCTTAATGCTTTCCGAATAATATTTTCGAGCCGTCTCTTCCCACTCCTTTATCACTCCAATACACCTCTCTAAACTCAATCCAGAACGGTTAAGGAATGCCTGCAAGTATCTCAACTTGTTCTCTTCCATGGCTTGTAAATTTTCTTCACTGTGATGAAAAGGGCCAATGGAAACTACTTGAGGTATGTAAGCCCTTTCATTTACATCACGAAGTCTTTTGGGAACTCTATAGATACAACAATCAGGTGATATGGGAGAGAGTTTATCTGTCTTTTCTCTAATTGAATTTACCAATGGGACAGCATCTGCAATATCAACTGACATATAGTGTTCTGTTATCTCAATTTCATGGCTTTCTGCGACAATTCTTTCCATCCTAGCTTGTGTTGTCCTGCAACTAAAAGGGCAATTAAGGCGTTAAGTAACACGCATTTGTCCTTTATGAAAAGTCATCCTATTCGGGCCAACTAATTAGGCCTATGTGTCAAAGTGAAACATTAATCAATAGTCTAAAGTGAATACGGCCGTTTTAAGTCCCATTTTAGGCCATCAATGACCTCAGCCTAACCAATAGGACTGAGTATCATTTTCCTACAAAATATTGATCTATATATATGTATACATATATTTTTTAAACTCAGCCAATTCTTAACATCTGCTACCACCAAAGAATAACAGTACTGACTCAGTGTGAATTAGATCACCTTATTAAATAGGCACATTTGTAATGATAGTTTCATAGAGTCGATTCATAACATCTACAATTTTTTATGTTTTGGAAAAAATTGTCAAATCCCATCAAGACATGGTAACGAAAGAAGTTCAGAAAATTTATCAATAATTTATTATGTACTTTTCTCTTTTAAAGGTCAATATGTCTTATAAAGCTTCAATTCCGCTGAATCTACTTTTAAAATGAGGTAACTTACATTGATCTCTCTTGAGGTTTGGGTAAATTACACACGAGTAAACCGTTCTGCATTTGTTACCTTGACAAATATTTCAATGTGTTTTTTTTTTTTCTTTCTTCCTCAATCTAGCTTGTTAAAACCTTTTTTATCTTTTGTATTGGCTTGATTATAATTAAGTATAGCTGCAAGTAATACATCATGAGATACTAATTTTCCATAATATATACATCTTCAAGTAAGCAAATCTATTTATATTTCTTCATCAAGATGAAGGTAGCTAGTCAAATTTGGTATTTTCTTAAGATTGCAGAGCTGAAGATGGACACTTTTAAAAAATTGTGCTTCTTATGGTATAAGACGTGTGTGTATATATAGAGAAATATATTTCTACGCTTATAAGACGTGTGTGAATATATAGAGAAATATATTTCTATGCTTTTTTCTTTTCTGTCATAATTAATTTATTTTCTGAATATGGTTTTCCATCTGTTAATTATTTAGAGAGAACAAATGTACGAAAATTCATTTGGTTAGCTGTCTTCTAATACTGAGGTAGAGGAAAAAACGTATTCTAAACAAACATATCAAGCAATATTTAAAGGGAAATTAAAGAACGAAAAGAAAATATATGTGGAGAGAGATTATAGTAAAAGTTGTGCAAACCCTCAAGCCTTGAGTACTTTTATGCACTTCATCCAGTGATCTTCACAATAATATTATAACAGCATAGACTTCACTTTCTAAGTAACCTCTATGCTGCATTAACAAGTCAAACCAAGCGAAATAAAATCATAAATAGTCCATAAAAAGAGCTCATTAATTCTTGCACCTTATATTAAGAAATATATGTTTATATCTAATTTTAAGTGGATAAATTAAAGTTGGTAATTTGCTTCTTTTATCCTCATCAAAACCTATGTTAAAATAGAAAAATAAGTAGCGTGATTTTTACATATAAAAGATATATTCTTTGACAATACATTTTCTAAATCATATTGGTAACAAGTTCATCTAGTTTTTGCGCATGAAAAACCATTTTATGTTTCTTAATCAATTGATGTTTTATTAAATTAAGATTGCATGCATCGCACTAGCTGATGATAGTAAAACCAAGTTGTGTTAGTGATGAAAGAAGGTTTATAGAGAAAAACGTCTGCAGGAAGAAAATGTTACATGGAAGAGGATGTGTGGAAACTTCTAATTTTTCCCAAAAATGGAATGATATAAAAAATAAATAAAAAATAAAAAAGGGAAAATGATACTCAACATGTGAATATTTCATGATAAACATCACAATATATATATATATATATATATATATATATATATATATATATATATATATATATATTATTCTTAAGTTCAGCTTATCACATGGATCGTATAGATTGAAAGAATACTTACCGGATACATGATTTGGTAAATGCACTTGAATTTCGATAATACAACTGGACAGTTAGAATTGAACAATTATGACATAAGATGAAACTTGTTAATATTATAAAATAAAATAAAAACTTACCAAATCTTCAATCTTTGAGTATATTTGTGTACTTCACCAAGTAAGCTTCACTACATTATTGTTATCACATTGATTTCACCTTGAGGACTTCTCAAGATGTTCCATGCCATACCCTGTATTATGTATGGAATAACAATCATATATAATAGTAAAAAGAGCAGTCTTTATTCTTAAACCTTATTCTAAGAAATGTATATTTGTACTTGTTAAATAAAGGGGACTGAAGTGTCTTTATTCTTGAACCTTATTCTAAGAAATGTATATTTGTACAATGGACCTGAGGGAATCAAAAGCTCCTTCTTCCTTGTCATAAAGTGAGTGAAGTTGGTCCTTGGTCCTTTGCTCCTTCTTCCTTGTCAAGCTTCCAGAGATTGATATCATCATGACCTGAGGGAATCAAAAGCTCATATTTTGAACATTTTTTTTTAACAAATAGCAGTAAAATATAATTTTCTGAGAAAGAGTATAGCAATATGGGAAAAATTGCTTACTAAAAAAACCATGTTTGCAGCACATAATTTGTCAATTGGTAACTAATTCTATAATTGTTAAGAATGAATATAGTAAGAAGAACTGTTGTAGATTTGAATGTGAAACAATCTAATGTCTTAGCTTGAAATAGAACATATAATTTCACACACGGACTAGATTATAAAAAATAATCAGTAGTAATCTGGAATGGATGGTTCATTTCTACAACTTCAACAAGCTAAAGCTTCAACTAAATCATGTTTGGTCGCTTCAATCTCTCACATTTAGAGCTTCAAAAGAGCAAAAGCTTGTCTAGGGCCTAGTCCAGTACTGAAGAACATGTCATTTTACCAGCCTATAATCAATTTTATTTTAGTTTAGTTTAGCTATTTCTGCATAAATTTCAAGCCCCAACTTGGAAATCATAGTCATTTTAATTTCTTTTCCTGTCGAATGAACAATGACCTAAAGATAATTTTACACAACATATCTTCAAAGAGAGGTAATATCAATTTTAAAAAATTACATAATTTGTTAGAATGTTTAATTTGAAAATCAGAGATAAAATGCACAAAGGTAAATAATATATATATTTTTTCTACAATGAAACCCAAACAGCCTGAAAATTTAGATAATGCCACCGTAACTAAGACAATATCAATGGTGAAGACTACATAATCTGTAAGAACTATAAATGCGCAGGAAATATCAGTACAATGCATAATGAAAGTACACAAGTATTGAACCTATAAGGGAGATTATAGAACAAATAGTTTGCATAAGAGTAAGTCCAACCAAGATAACCGCAGCGATAATAGAAGCAGTTCTCCATGAAGTGCTGAAATAATCACTTTTTAGTATTGCCTTCCACACGTGCGACAGAACCTGCAATATGCATTCAATTTTTCACTTATACCAGAAAAGTAATAGCAATAGCGTGGACACCAGAAAGACACTTCCTTAGTGATATTATTAAAGAGACTTTGCTGTTGCAGTGCTATCGCCCAGGTAGCTCTCACAAATCCCATTTTCGATAAGTAATTTCACGTCTTTAGCCGTGTTAATTAGGTTATCCATGAAATAAATATAATCAATTATGTAACCTAGGAAGTACGGACACGCCAAAATGAGCGAAGAATCCGTGTCCGACACTCGTCGGACACACCCTGACACGTGTCGAACACACCAAAAAACGTGTCTAGAATTTTTTTTTTTTTTTTTTTAATTTTCGGACACTCCGCGGACATGCGTCCGACACGTCAAGGGTTGTGTCCAACACGCGTGTCTTATTTTTGGGGGTCTAAAAGATAATTTTTTTAAAAAAATTGGGTTAAAGTATAAATATGTGAAGTTATTTAACAACTTTTACTCCTTTATGTGATCAATACATTATAATTTTAAACTTATAATTAATTGATACTAGTTATTATTCTAATGTCTTGTTTTTTTATTTAATTTTATAACTCTGCAACATTGTTCTTTTATAGTTTATTAGTTATGAGTTATGATTTGTGTATTTTGTTCATTGAGGTTGATGAAAAATAGTAGAACTATTCGCCGTGTCCGTGTCTGTATCCTAATTTTTTTGAATTTGTCGTGTCGCCATGTCCGTGTCATGTCGTATCTATATCCCGTATCCATGTCTGTGCTTCTTAGTATGTAACTATCATATGGATGGCAAAATTGCTCAAGTGCCGTGAGGTTTCTAAGTGAAGATTAAGATTGTCTGGGGGATTTCCAATACACCATTCATGGAAAGCTTTATGTCAAGGAAACGATTGCTTGAACCCTTCTTAAACTTCATTCATGCCTCCTGAAGCTCCACTGCATTTCAAACTGGCACATAATTGACTTTCTCTACAACCCTTAAGAGTTAGAAATGAGGGTAAGTGACATTTACTTCAATACTCAGAAATGAGGGTTTCATATTTTTGTAAATAACAAAATCCGAGTAGTATAAGATGGAAAGCTCAAGGAAGGGAGAAGTTCTCTTGCACGGGTAGGCTATAGGTTGAAGAGACCCTCGAAAATAAAAAAGGGGATCTGATTTTCAAGTAAGATCATGTCTTTGAATGCATTGTTTATATAAATTTGCCGATTTAAGTAATCCTCTGGTTCTTCCACCATACAAAATTGCTGCCTCCAAAAAACTGCTACCCAAAAGAATCATTCTCACAAATTCATCACTGCTAACCTTAATGCTTTCTGCATGATAACTGCGCGCTCTCTCTCCAGGTGAGGGAGTCTTTTTCTTTTTCTTCGTCAGATAGTCATGTATATATGATATTTTGTTAAAATTACAGAGTTGGAGATGGAGAACATTTAAAAAAAAAAAAAATCTGCTTCTTGTAGTATAAAAATGTGTGTGTGTATATATATATTACCAAGAGAGAACATCATATCTATTTCTATGCTTTTTTCTTTTTTGGCATGATTAATTTTATTTTCTCTACATGGTTTTCTGTTAATTAATTTAGACAAAACAAATGTACGAAAAGTCATTTAGTTAGATATTTTCTAATACTGAGTTGGAGGGGGAAAAAAAATTATTCTATAGTAATATATATTTTTTGAATTCTCTGAGATTCACGGTTCTTGAAAACTGGTTTTATAGCAATTAAATAGGTTTCCTAGAAAAAAATTGCTAACAGATATTGTTCGCATTAGAAACAGGGTGTAAATTTCTAATAAGAAACCAACCAGAACTTGTCCATCAGAAGGAGGTAGTAAATTTTTAATCTTCCCCCCAAACAAATTAATAAATAAAGAAAAGAAACTACAACCATATCAAGGAATTATAGGGAATTACATGAAGAAAAATAAGAGATAGACTATAGAGAAAGTCGTGCAAACCCTCACACCTTGAGTATGTTTATGGACTTCATCCACTCATCTTCACAATATTATTATTAGCGCATAGACTTCACTTTCTAAAAACTGCATGAATTAGAAAGTCAAACCAAGTGAAATAAATCATAAAAAATAGTCTATATAAAGAGCTCATTAATTCCTTAAACCTTATCTTAAGAAACATGTGTTTATACCAATTTTCAGTGGATAAAGTTACATATTTGCTTCTTTTATCCATCAAACCTCTGTGAAAGTAGAAAAATAAGTAGCATGATTTTTACATATGCATGAAGCATATGTATAATTTGTCTGCATGAAACAAATATTCCTTAGACAATACATTTTTCAAATCACATTGGTAATTAACAAGTTCATCTAGGTTTTGCTAAACCATTTTTATGTTTATTTACAATTGGTGTTTTAGCATAGATTGAAAGAATACTTATTGGATTATGGTCCACTAATGATTTGATAAATGCACTTGAATTTCAATATTATCTTCAAAGTTCAAAAACAATACCAGCAAAGCAAGACAACTTCATGATCTGTTTACCTCAAAAGGATACGCACCAACATATTTATATTCATTATATATTCAATACATAAATACGGAGTACTAAATATCTATTTAGAGAGAGAGAGAGATTTCAAGGATTTGGGAGATAAAAAAGCTGCAGAGAGACCTGACCTCTCTTCAGAGCATAGCAGAGCGTATTGACGGTATTCTTCAAGGTCCGTTTGGCAGCTTACGTAGTGAAGGAAGCACCAGCTCTTCTCTTTAGAGAAGATAGTCAGATAAGCTTCACCGCAGGGGAGGGGGACAGAAGGGCATTTTTTTAGGGCATTGAGCTTGAAGAGGTCCCCATTCTCGAATCCTTCCAACATGGATTCTCCATATGAAAGGAACCCCTGGCTTCTACGGAGAAGGAAGCAATTCTCTCGCTCATAGGAGGAGTATTGCTGGAGTAGAAGCCAAAAGATGACGAGAATAAAGCTTCTTCTCTCGCCTTCTACCATATGGAGTGAGAATTTCAGCTGAGGTTGAGGCTGAGGCTGTTTCAGCTGTATGGAGTGAGAATTTCCCTAATTCCCATCTTCCACCACCACCAATTTTCACCCTCCAAGACCGCTCTGATTTCTCCCCAGAATATCGAATTCCAGACTACCCCATATCGCCGGAAATCAATTCGGACCCAAGAACAGCTAGTTTTCAACTCCAAAAAGCAAGTATGGAGCGAGTACTTCATATGCTGTAATGGGTAGCCGGCAACAGAATCAACAGGGTTCGGTGGCGAGTTTGAGTTGGTGGTCACCTATGAAGAATGGTGGTAGCTCATGAGCGAGATGATAAGATGCAGTGTTCCCCGGTCGAGGGAGCGGTTCAGTATGGAGCTTCTTCTCTCCCCGTCTACTCCAGCAATGCTCCTCGGATGAGCGAGATAATTGCTTCCTTCTCCTTGGAAGTCGAGATTCTTTCAGATGGAGAATTCGTATTGTAATAATTCGAGAAGGAGGACCCCTTCAAGCTCAATGCCCAAAAAAAAGCGCTGTCCCCTCACCTCCGGCAACGCTTCTCCGACTCTCTTCTCTGAAAAGAGAAGCTTTCTTCAGTGAAGGGAGTGAGTTCGCCAGAGAGATGGAAGTCTTCCCTTTTCTTGATTTTCAGTTTTTTGAACATGTTAGACAGAGTCTTCTACAATGGACCCACTGAGGTAGCAAAGAGAAGAGATTAGGGAAAGAGAGAGAATAATGAGAACTGTTAACAAGTTAGGGTTTGAGAAATCCTACAAGGAGATGATGATTATATATAGATGGCCAGGAAGAGAGAGTAGTGAGATAGGAGTAAAGTGGCGAAGAAGACTCATTTTCATTTTAGGGTTGGGGAGAGTGATGGGTAGAGCAATCAGAGATGTGTAGACCAAGACGGGAAACTGAAACAGACGCATTTTGAAGTAGGGGAAGAGAGAGGAGATCAATTGCAGATCAGGAGAGTACTGTAAATGTAAATGTAAGAGCATCCGCAGTGGGCTCGCGGAAGGCCCTTTCCGCGAGCCAAACAAACCAAACTCACTCCAGCAGCCTCTCGGAATTGGGCTGGGCCCACAACAGCTCGCGGCCCGGCTCGAGGTATTCCACGAGCCCGAGCCCGATCGCGGAAATTTTTTTTTGTCTTTTTCCTTAGCAAAGCGACGACGTTTTCCCTGAAGCGGTTTTTCTTCGTTTTTTTTTTTTTTACTTCAGGCTGCAACAGTGCCTTTAGGGCACTGTTTGGCAACCTAGTTTTTTTTTGAAAAAAACCAAAAATATGTTATTTTGAGCTTATTTTTAAAAAAATAAAATAAAATTCAGTAAATAAAAAAAGATATTCTTTAGACACTGTTTGTCCAAAAAATAAATTATTTGTGCCAAAAATAAATTAAAAAACCTTTTCTTTTTTTTTTCCTTAAAATTTGATTTTTTTTAAAAAAAATTTGCTTTAAATTTTAAATTACTGTCATAAACAGTGCATTACAGTGCCTTAAAGGTTATAATATTGTAAATTTTTTTTAAAAAATTCAATTTTGTAAAACTTTTTTTTAAAAAAATAATTAAAATTAAAATTTCATTTTCTTATTCCCATAGGATTTTGTAATTTTTATTTTCTTATTCTAATTCATTATTTTTAATCTTAAAATTTAATTTTTTTTTTGAAGAGTGAAAATTCGGAGAGTCTGATGGAGTATATGTTTTTAGATAACAAAAATTGCTGACGTGGCTCTTGAAATTATTGACGTGACTCTTGAAAAGTTAAAGTAAAATTTTTAGAGAGTCAAAATTTGATGCAGATGGCATAAATGGTGTGGGGAAGAAGACACCACTTTTATGTTGGGGAAGTGGCTCATGGTGTAGATAGGGGAATGATGGATACATAGAGAGAGATAGGGAGAGAGATGAAAGAGTGAGTGGGAAGTGAGACCAGAGTGTAAATAGGGGAGTAATATTAGGTGTAGGCCACATATGTGGTTTAATACTGGCAGAGTTGAGGTCTGCAGCAAGGAATCGAGTACTGTTGTGGATAGGGGGTAAATGGTCCTTTTCAGACAAATATTAGAGCAGAGGTCCAGGACTCTGCAGCTTTTTATCTCCCAAATCCTTGAAAAATCTCTCTCTCTCTCTCTCTCTCTCTCTGAGTTGATATTTAGTATATTTATACACGAGTATTAGATATACTCCCACAATATAGGTCCACGGATAGAAGTGGGAGTTTTAAGAGTGACATATAATTAATGTATTATTTTTTAAAAAAATTATTAAATTATTTTTTTAATTTAAATATATATAGTTATAAAGTTTAAAAATTTTTAAAAAGATAAAAGACAATAATAAAAATAAAAAAAAATATTTTAATTTTTTTAAAAAAATAATTAATTTAAAACATATAAAAATAAAATAATAAATTATTAATATAAAACGGAAGGAATATATATATAATGAATATAAATATGCTGGTGTGTATCCTTACGAGGTAAGCAGATCATGAAGTTGTCTTGCTTTGCTGGCTTGTGTACTTGCATTAATTATGCATTGTAACGATTTTCCCATTGCTTTTTATTACAGGTTCTACAGTGTTTTGAAATTCATATTGTCTTGCTTTGCTGGTACCGTATTTGAACTTTGAAGATAAACTACTTTAATAACTGTTTTCCTTTAAAAGCACTTTGAAGAAACCACAATCACTATAGAATGTATTTTTCACTCTACTTTTAAAGGGGAATTAGTCACTTCTCTTATTAAAAAATCAAGTGAAATACAAGATTAAAAAATTAAGTGTTAATATCAAGTCCCTTAAAAAAATTAGATTTTGAGAGACTAGATTTTGGATTGGGATCATCTCCTGTACAAAATTAACTTTGTTATGCATTTAAATTGAAGACGGTGACACATTACATCAACAGAGAATGATGATATAGCCAAACTAGTCCTCCGAAAATTCCACTCCTCCTCAACAAGATGTAATATTCACCCTCCATTTTCTTACTAATGGAGACTCCACAATTATTATAAATTAATGTATTTTTTTTCTCTATTTTAATTTTAGAAAGTGATTATGTCATTTCTCTTATTAAAAATCATGCAAAATCAAGAATAAAAAATTAAGTGTGAAAAATATATATATATATATATATATATACACACCTCGGTGTCTAATACTTTGTTGTACAATGTACATTGACATCATTCTTTATTCTTAAACCTTATTCTAAGAAATGTATATTTGGACATATTAAATAAAGTGAGTGAAGTGTTCGTCGATTCTTAAACCTTATTCTAGGGAATGCATATTTGTACATATTAAATACAGTAAGTGAAGTTGATTCTTTGCTTCTTCTTTTTTTTTTTTTTTTTTTTTTTTTTTTTTTTTTTTTTTTTTTTATCAAGCCTCCAAATATCACTATGATTTGAACTTAGGGAATCAGAAGCTCATAAGAACTTTAGTTTCACTCAATCATATTTCGAATATTTTTTTAACAAATAGCCCCAAAATATGCACAATTTTCTGAGAAAGGGAATAGCGAAGGGAAAAATTACTTACAAAACTATATTTACAGCACAAAAATATTGGTAATTTGTCATGTGGTAACAAATAATGAATATAATTAGAAGAATGGTTTAAATATATATATATATATATATATATATATATATATATATATATATATTGGGTAAAATTTGAATGAGAAACAATATTTGTCTAATGCTTAAAACAAAACAAGCCATTTCTTATACTAACTACATCATCAAAAAGAATCAGAAATCTATAGGGAGGTGAAGTAACACAAAGACCAAAATAACCAAATAAATTATTTTTTTGTCCTTTCATCCAAAAGTATCCTAACAAGTACTCAAAAAAAAATATTTAATTCAAAAATAATTTCCTAATTAGAATATGATTTTAAGACATAATTTGTGACAATGATGCCCAACGTTATACAAGTATTAATTAATCACTAAGAAAAGAGATTAATTATATAATGACAGTACAACTAGGATACTTCTTTCCCATGAATCATGGAGGAACTAAAAACATGTCAGTTAGATTAAAAAAAATTACGGATTATTACATATAAATGGTTAAAGATACATATTTATTATTTAATGAAATTAAAATTTCATAATTTCAAAAAAATAAAATACGAAAAAATATTATTTACTCTCACAAAAGTATCACATTTAGGTACATAGGTATCACTTTTTGTGCATACAGGTACTACTTTTTGTCATTGATACTTATGTGCCTAAAAGTGATACCTATGTGAGAGCGAACAATATTTTTTCATATTCACGTCAATAGTTTAGTTAATTCCATTTTTTTCAAAATTATGAGGCTTTGATTTTAACAAATGATAAATTTGAACCATTAGCACCATTTATATATAATAATCCCACAAAAATTTTTACGGACATAAGCATTTATTTATCTCTCCCTCTCCCCCTCCACACATGATGTCTATAAAAAAAAATTATTTATTTTTCTCTTTCTCGGAAAAATACCAATTTGACTCACTCTAGTCCATAAGCACAAAAATCTATACGTTTCTTCGAACAAGGATTAAGAATTATTGAGCTCTGTTTTTTACAATAATATATGATTATAAATTATAATATAATTATTGCACAAAGGCTGTGGGACATAATAAGAACTTCTTAAAAGCGAAATCAATGTTGTTATATATAGTTTGGTGGAGATGATTATGTGAAGTCCATCACCATACTTAAGGATTGCGGATGTGGTATGCTTTTATTATACTCTCTTATATATAATTGTGTTTATATGCATATCATAATGTGTTTTTTTATTTTTTTTTCTTTTTTTGTTGAGTTATATTTGTGTTTTTTCTTTGCTTGAAATGCCTATTTTTCTTTTCCTTTATTATGTGCTTTTAGTTTTGGTGAAAAATATAAAATTTTACACAAAATTCATCATCTTGCAAAGTAGCCATCATTAAAAGGAGCTTGAGCATTTCAATTAGTACGTCTATGTGGATACTTGAATCCTCTCGGACTGTCCATCGATCGATGTCACCTTCAAGCAATTTATTTTTTTGGGTAAATCCTTCAAGCAATTTATTCATGTTATAGAACAGCGTAAGCATGATTTTCGAATAGTTACTCAGTTTTCATAATTAGTATTAATCTATACATTTGTTTTTAATTATGTGCTAAAAAAGACGAATTGGTGGATGAGATATATATATATATATATATATCTATAGATTTATACTATCCAACAAGTGTAAGCTCCTTTCTCTATTTTTTAATATATATATATATATATTTTTAATAAAAAGTCTCATCAAATGACATAGTGATTCGTAATTATTTGGTGCTCCAAACATAGCATTACTGGTCGAGGACATAGGGTTGCTCTCTCTATTTTTTAATATTTTTTATTTATTTTTTTTCATAAAAAAGACTCATTAAATAACGTAATGATTCGTACTAATTTGGTGCTCCGAACATAGCATTACTGCTTGAGGACATATCGTTGCCCTCTCTAAGGATTCAAGGCGAAGAAGAAGCAAAAGAACCAATTTGATTCACTTTAGTCTAAAAGTACAAAAATATGTTTCTTAGAATAAGGTTTAAGAATAACTGTGCTCTTTTTTACCCTTATATATAATTCTTGCGCAGAAGTTGCGGCATAGTAAGAAGTCCTTTAATAAATGTTGTCATATATGGTATGGAGGAGATGATTCTGTGAAGTCCATAAACATACACAAGGATTGAGGATCTGGTATGCTTTTGTTCTACCCTCTTATATATATAACTCATCCTTTTTTTGTGTATGTCTGTTGAGGTTGGGTTTGATTCAGTTCTTGAAATAGGTCCCTAAAAGTCTCAGAAAATTTTAATTAGGCCATCAAAAAAAAAATCAGAACACTTATTTAATTGAATCAAAAATATCTTAGAAATAAATATAACATGTGTCCCTCAGTCCTCACAGTTTATAAAAAATTTCAAACTTTTTTAGCCTACTTTTGAAAGCTCAAATCTTGTCATACAAAACTATAAGTTTATTATTAAAGTAGTCCTTACTATAATTAATCAGTCCTTCATTTCATATAAATTTACGAATACACGTGTATTGCGTCTTTAAGTTACTAAAGTACTTTTCTGTTTGTTTCTAATTATTATATGAGTAATGTTATTAAGAGAGTTCTCTCATTACAAGAGTCATAAGTTCCTTATATTCAACTACTGATTGAAAGATATATTAAATAGTTTATTTGATTTTCTACAAATCTAAAAAAAATATATCTCAATCGAGTGCTTGAATGTGTAGAACTCATGACTTTTATCATGAGAAAACTCGCTTCATAATATTATTATAATGATATATCTTTCTCAAGGTGGAATCAAAGTAGTCGATTTTTATTTTTAAATATTTAAACAACTGTTGAAGATAGTTTAATTTATTTTTTCTTCTTCTCTAAAAATTCCTTATAACTTCTCATTTTACAAAAAAAAAAAAATGTTTCTTAAATATAATTTATTGTTTCTTCTTCTCTTTGTTCTTTTCATATCAATGTTCATCTCTAATTATTTCGATTGCACTTTTCTCATTTTTGAATTGTTTTTTCTTAAATATATGTATTAATAATATTATGCAGAAAATTATATTACAGTTGACTTTAGAAGTTTGAGAGGTAGTTAATACTTTTTCATTATTATTTTTTTACAGTTGACTTTAGAAGTTTGAATATATTCATATCAATGTTCATCTCTAATTATTTCGGTTGCACTTTTCTCATTTCTGAATTGTTTTTTCTTAAATATATGTATTAATAAGAATAATATTATGCAGAAAATTATATTACAGTTGACTTTAGAAGTTTGCAAATTTTAATTATATGGTACTAGTTCGATCCCCCAAATCAAAATTTCTATCACCGCCACTGTATTTCACAAGGATTCTTCTAAAAAAAATTCTCTTTTTCTAACTCTGCTCTCTTAAAACCGTTTCAAAAATAACTAAATAAATAAATTTTCAAGCTATTAATAATATCTGAGTTCTTTGCCAATAAATATGATCGCTGTGGACGGGATGAAACGGACTTAAATCAATTGGGACAAAATGGAAACAATAATAGGAAACCAAAAGTTTTAACAAAATTGGAAAAACAAAACAAAGATTCAAGATTTTACTGTATAAAATTTCTCCATTTAGCATCTAATGGAGAGTAAAGTAAAAAACATATACATGCACTTACTGTTTCTTCATTACTCTTCCAGTTACACCAGAAAAATAGAAGGATGGAAAGAACGGACACAGGAAACCATGGCATTCCATCGGAAATTTCGATTAAGGAATTGATGGAGAACCTGCCTCCTATGTCACCTGAATGTTGTATCTATAGAGTTCCCAAGAGACTTCGCGTATTAAAAGAGAAAACTTACACACCTCAGGCAGTTTCTATCGGCCCATTCCATCGTGGCAAAGAAAACTTACAAGCTATGGAAGAGCATAAGTTGAGATACTTGCAGTCATTCCTAAATCGTGTTGGGATGAGTTTGGATAGGTGTATGGGAGAGACAAAGAAATGGGAACAGAGAGCTCGCGATTATTATGCAGAAAGAATTGAGCTTAGCAGCGATAAATTTGTGGAAATGCTGCTTTTGGATGGCAGTTTTATCATCGAGATTCTATGGAGGTACAATTTCTCTATGCTGAACGAACCAAGTGATTACTTAAATAGGCCACATATGATAATTGCAGTGCGTACAGACCTAATCTTACTTGAAAATCAGCTTCCTTTTTTTGTGCTCGAGAATTTGTTCAACCTAATTCACAACTCTGATTCAAAACCCCAACATTCCTTCCTTAGGCTATCTATCAAATACTTCAAAAATATAACGTTGATCAGTAACACCCAACAGTCAATCTCAACGCTAGCTGAAGCAAAGCATGTCCTTGATTTGCTAAGAATATGCCACTTACCATCATCTACAAGGTCACAGCCCATAGGTGGGGTCAAATTTGTGACAATACGCAATGCGACAGAGCTCAAGGAGGCAGGAATGAAATTTAACAGCGGCTCAAGCAAACACTTACTTGACATACAATACACTATGGGATCTCTGGAAATTCCCCACTTCAGCATAAACGACTCGACAGAGTCTCTACTGAGAAACCTCATTGCACTCGAGCATTGTCATTATACACTTGACAGTTACATAATGGATTATGTTTTTTTCATGGATAACCTTATTGACACCGTTAAAGATGCAGATTTACTTATACAGAGGGGAATTATTCAGAACTTACTAGGCGATAGCTCTGAAGTGGCTGGACTCTTTAACAATCTCACCTCAGAAATGTTATGGTGGTCCGAGAACTACTATTTCCATGATACATGTGAAAAACTAAATGCATATTGCAAGGTTACTCGGCACAAGTGGAAGGCGAAACTGGAGCATGATTATTTCAGTACTCCATGGAGAACAGCTTCAACTGTTGCTGCATTTATACTGCTTGTACTTTCTTTCATACAAACCATTTGTTCTATCATCTCCCCCTAGTTTCAGGACTTGTTTACTTGCGTTATCCATTGTAATGACTTTCTTATTACGTCTTATAACAGATTCTACAGTTTTTTTGAAATTCATATTATCTTGCTTTGCTGGTATTGGCTAAATTCTAACCAATCCCAATTATGTCTCTAAAATCAAATCAAATACTAAGGCAACCCCCATCATCTTTATTAACGCGCATCAGATATGTCTTTTCCTCATTTTCAAGGGCTTCTTGTGCATTAGTTAACAAGAAAACAGACTTCATGGCCTCAAGCTTTTAGACACTATATCATATATTTCAACTCTCAAGCACTTAGTGAGCTGGAGAAAAAGAGTGCCAAGGTTGCTTGGGCAACAGTTTGTTTGCCCAGAAATGCTGGTGGTCTAGGGATTCATAATCTACATACATGGAATGAGTGTGCAGTTCTGAAGCATCTATACAATATTCTTACTGGAAAGGACAATATGCTTTGAATTCAGTGGATAAACACATATCTTCTTAGACGTAGAAGCATGTGGGAAGAGAACATACCTGGTCAGTGTTCTTGGAGCTGGAGGAAGCCGCTTCAACTCAGGCCTGCCATTCGCGCTCTTGTCAAGCTATAAATTGGGAATGGAATTAACACTAATGTCTGGTTTGACCGCTGGTCCTCTCTTGGCCCTCTACGAAAAACCTCTCTCAGCACCTTCATTGATGATTCGTCACGGTCATTTCAATCCTCAGAATCTTCCCTCAGCTTGGCAACCCATCCACCCTCCCATCTCCATGCTCCAACACAAGCCATCGAATCAAATGGATTCCATATCCTTCTCGAGATTTCTCCATAGCTCACACTCTTAATGCAATCTACCAAAAATCACCCAACTGTTCCATGGCACCACTTGACTTGGTCACAACCATCCCGAAACACAATTTTATTCTACGGTTGGCCATTCACAACAGACTCTTCCCTTGACCGTAAACCCATGAGTCATAGGCATCTTGCTCAGCATGCTCTCAATCCCATGACCACTTGTTCTTCAAATGTTCATTTGGTTATTTATTCAAACACGTTGTGCCCTCTTACATCTTTCCATCCTCGTGGACAGAATTATCCTCAGCATTGGAGAGGCAAATCATCTAACTATAGAGTTATTGTATGCAAGGCGCATTGCCTGAACTGATTGATTGATCGGAATGCAGGGCAAGTCTGCTGCAGCTTCTCCGGCTGATTGAGAGATGTTGTAACCGTCATGTGTTCGAATTTTAGTTATGATTGGGCTCTTGCCTATTGTTTTGTAAATGCTCTGGGGCCAAGTTTAAATGTTTTTTTTTTTACCTGACAAGGAAGGGGAGGATGGGAGCGAGTTGAACCAGGCTCCCACACGACTCATGAAAATGTTTCTACCAAGTCGGCTACCCAGCTTAACCAGGGTCAAATTTAAATGTAAACCAATATATTGTATATAATTATAGAATTAACCTTCACCTCTCCGACAAAAAAAAAAAAAATGAAAGATAAAACACTTGCAAATGTGGTGTAATCTCAAAGTAAATATCAATTTAACTTGTTACATGAGTGTTGCATTTTCAAATTAAATGTGATGCATGGTTATTGCACAGGTATTACGTTCGAGCATCACTACACATCTCGAATTATAATTCAAAATTGTATCTTAAATTTGATGTAGCGATAATTAAAAAGACATGAATGTTTTCTATTTTAATACATATTACACTTTATTCTTTTATACATTTGGGTGTCATATTTTAACAAACTAAACAAATTGACAATTGAAGAAAAAGGTCACAACAAACAATTATATTGGATTTCTTTCTCTATCTATAATTTGTTTTTCTTTACTAATATTTTTCATATTATATATATATATATATATATATATATATATATATATTCTTCTCTCTCAACTTTTGTATATCTTTGTTAGGTATCTCTTTAAAATTTAACAGTAAGCTTTAAGTGAATTATGTAAATTATAGTTCTTATTTATGAGAAAGATTGTACCTACTAGTTTTAATTATTTAAAAATTTAATAGAAAGAGTCTACATGAAGATTTATAGGCTGGATTGAATTCAAATTATTGAGTTATATTAGGGTTTCGATTTTATAATGATAAGTTTTGTTATTTTTTCTCTCTTTCTTATATTAAAAAATTACCTTTAAAATGCACAAAGTAGTCAAATAACGTGACAAATAAGCAGCCACTTAATTCTATATAAAATCACAAATCTAAATCCGTGAAGTATAGCATTTTCGTAAATAAAGTGAGTGAAGTTGGTTCTTTGGTTCTAATTTCTTATCATGTCTCCGGATATCATTATGACATGAGAGAATCAGAAGCTATAAGAGCACCATTGGGACGTGGCACTCCATATTTGTGGCCAACTCAGCCCACCCGTATGGTACTAATTGGGTTGGCTAACTTGCAATGGCGAATTCAGGAATTATCAATTGGGGGGGTGAGCTAACGAAGAATAGGGATTGATAGATGAAAGAGTTGAAAATTTTTAGAGAAAATACTGAAATAGGGTTAGAGGGATAGAGTCTAGGTCACATAAAAGACTAGGAATTTAGGTATATTGGAGGGAGCTCTCTGAATTGTGTTCTGGCTCTGTGGTCGGGTTTTAAGGCTTGTTTGACTTGGACATGTTTGGTTGGGTCTTTATTTTAAAATTGTGACTTAGATCTTGGGCTTATTTGGATGGGCTAATATTTAAAGGACTAATACCCTACTAATTTGTTTTGTTGGGCTAAATTTACTTATACTAAAATAAAAAAAATTAGGGGGGGCTCAAGCCCACCTTCAAACCACCTCTCACACACACACACACACACACACACATATATATATATATATTGTAACGACCCAAATCCACTGGATTCGGATCATTAGATAGGTACCTACCTGACCCAAAATTGTCTAAGGGTAATGTGGTCCTTTCACGTTAAATTTGTATATTAAAGTCCAACAAGGACAAGATGGTCATTTGTCACAATTCTAATGGTCTGAGACTCAGAGGACAAAATAGTCATTTACTTGTATCACATAATAAATAAGATAAAGTTCGGGGCAATATAGTCTATCCTATGGTTAAAATATAATTTTTGTATTTTACGGAACCTTATAATGTGTAACAATACACTTGAGTGAGTGGTCAAGGGCAAAATAGGAAAAATAAGTCACAAATGTTTACTACATAGGAACCGGTCAACGTGTATACATCACATGTCAACTGATTTAGCACGTGAATAGTGGAAAAGCCCACTGCCAGGATACCGGTCGACGTATGGAAGGCTACACATCGACTGGTTAAAGACTTGTACAGTGGAAATGGTCACTGCCAAGATACCGGTCGACGTGTGGGAATTTCACGTCGACTGGTTTAGGTCATCCGGTCGACGTATGGGATTTGGGATTTTACATTGACTGGTTGGGTTATCCTCACCCAAAATGCCACTGTCTGAAGGAAACCGAGATACACCAACTTTGATACACAACCACCCACACCACTACACTCACGTACATGTTTAAATACATTTCAACACCTAATACAATAACAACATTGATAACAAAATTTTTGGATGATACATAACACGTTCTAAGAAAAATACGCCAAAAAGGGTTTAATAAGGTTATTTTTAATTACATCTCCAAATACGTCAAAATATACATATATGTATATGTATCCAAAAGAATAGTAAACCAAAATATAATAAATTAGACAATCTTCTAGTCCAAGTTAAGGCTATGGTGGATTGTCTCCCGCCACTTCTTTTCCATGCCATGAAAATGTTAAATATAAAGGGGTGAGCATAAAGCTCAGTAGGAGGTGCCTAAGGCACACCTCTTGTGACCCCATGAATTCCAAACAATGAATAGAGTGAAAAAAACAGGATCATACAACTCGGAGGAGAAAGATAACCATAATATCAACAACAAACAATCCAAGTCACAATTACGCCATGTAGGCCAATGAAGTGCAATACCATGCTCATGTCGCTCCCCATTTCCGAAACATTTCCGTTTCAACATCTAAACCGTTAGTGTAATCCAACCCAAGGCACCTCCAAGGCGTGGAGGGTTGGCTAACTATCCACTACCACAAGGCACCTCCAAGGCTTCGCATCCGGCCTAGTTAGCTCAACCATACTCCCTTCTATATTACACTAACACCACGGACCACTAGGCGCCTCCTAGGCGTCCGGGTTTTCGCAAACACTTTTCAAAACATTTACGAAAAAAAATCATTTTTTTTTCTTTACTTTTCAAATCTTTTTCCCATTTCTTCCTAATGCTTATGCATGAATGTATCATGTCATCTCATGCCACGTCAATATTCATTATCACGCTTTTAATTTAAGCTTAACCACCTAACATGCTTTACAATAACACAAACAACGTATCATGCTTCCAAGTAAATAAAAAATTTAGCATGTTAAGCACAAAATATATGAAAACAAATCCACATAAGCATGTTTTTCACAACAATTTCACAAACCACTTACACATATGTCCTCTACACATAGAATTTCACATAGATATACAAATCATTCAAGAGTTAATCATAATTAAGCATGTATTTCACACAAATCAACTTATACACATAATATTGAGCTTCATATACAACCACTAAATCATATTAGAGGAAATCATCTCAAATTAAGCATGCTTGGCTATAATTAACAAAGAAAAATTCACAAGGGAACAAGAATTTCATGGATTAGGAACCCCTACCTCCAATTAAGCAAAAATCCCCAATTCCTTGCCCCAATTTCGAAATTCCTAGGTGCACCAAACTAGAAATTGCTCGGATCAAATCGTAGATCTCGTCGTGAGCTTCAGTTTGCCGCAAACGGCACTCAAAAATACCAAATATTGAGAGAGAGATCAAGAATTGAAATTTGGAACCAAAAAAAAAAGAAAAAAAAAAATCAAGAACAAGAAGAGGAGGGAAAGAGATGCAGGAGAAGAGAGCAAATAAGAGACCAAAAAATGGTCTCTAACCCCTTTAAGGGGGTGGTGGGTCCCACTTCATTTTTTCTTTTCTTTTGTTTTCAATTTAT